ATCAGTTAGTTTAAAAAGTTAGGCGTCTAGACCATTGGTAACCTGATTATATTCAGTTCAACATTTTTTCTATTTGTTTTATATATTTTGAATGGATGTTAAATCTTTTTTAGGATTTTTAAATTAAGTTATTTTTTATTTCAATAAATTTATTATTCAATAAGTTTTTATTCATTTTAATACATATTACATGTGTTAAAAAGATTATCCGGTATTTACCATGACTCGATACAGGATTATACATGGGGTGCCCCGTATGTTAGAAATTATAGAAGGTAAATATTTTTAGTCGATACCAGTTTAAATTATATTTAATATTATTTATAATGTAATTATTTTTTATAGTATATAATTCAATAGTATTTAATAAAATTATATTATAACTATAATAATAATTTATTTAAAAAATATAAAGTTATGTTAGTCGTATGTTGGGCGACGTCTTACAATCAAAGAAAATGTAACAGAAAATTTGAGAATAAGTGCAAGTGATGAAGTTATGAAAAGCTTCAGGCGAGAGTTGCTTTTTCGTTTGAAACCCGTGAAAACTTGAATGCTCAAGATCTCGGACCTTTTTTTCGGCAGAGATGGATAATTGTTTACCTTTTTGATTTCGAAATTTTCCACAGACCCAAACCAGTTGATATTGTTAAATTAATATTGTGGGCGTCACACGAATATCGTGTTCCACATTGAAATACTGATACAGCAGCTTTAATGTCACTTCCACTGTCAACTGTAACAGATACAATTTTCATTTGAATGTTTAACTTATCAATTTCTTTAATAATAAATGATCGCAAACGTTCAGCTAAATGCCGGCCACGGAAACGACGAAACGAAATAATGACTGATGAATACTGAAAATGTTCATTATAATAATGAGCTGTAATCGCCAAGAAATGTGTTCGACGAGAATTTACCCATAAATCAGTTGTTAATGCTATGAATAGAACAGTTTTGAGTGTTTGTCGTAATGATGAACGATGTTGTTGATATAATTTATGTACAGTTTTACGAACTGTTTGTCGTGATGGACCACGATAACCAGGCACGACTGTTGCAAGAAATCCTTGCATTCCAGAACGTCGAAAAATTCCGAAGGCGAGGCCATCATCGACGATACATTGAATGGCTGCTGCATCAAATTCTTGTTTAACTTGGTGTGTTATTATTGTTGGTTTTCTTTGGTGACGTTCTCTTTGTTTCAGCTGAGATGGAAATAAATATTGATGCATTCCGTGTTGAAAACCAAGATGACTACGTAGATTGGAGTCTGAATATGTATCAGATTTGTATTCCTAAATGAGGAGAGCGAAAAAGATATTCTATAGAGCAGAAGCGAAAAAAATGGATGAAAACTTAAGGAAGATCTTGCCCGATTGAGCATTTTTCTCTTAGGCGCTTAAGTGACAAAAAATTTTTCTCAAAATTATGTTCACTCGGTTCTACGTTCTACGGTTAGAAAATGTAATTATGAAAAAAATTTCAGGTCTCTACAAATTAATTTGACCAAGTTATGAATTTTTGAGAAAAAGGACTACGTAAAAGTCAGAAAATAGTACCATCTTTAATATTTTCATTATTTGAACTAAATGACGTTTTAAAATTCTGGTTGACATATCACTAGAAAGAGCGACGAAAACTACATAAGATAGCTCATTCTGTTTTCTGAAGTCATAAAACTTTGTCAGACGTTATTTAACTCTTTTTTGGGAAAATTCGTAACTCGGTCAAATAAGCTTGTAGAGACCTCATAATCTTTCACAACCAGATTTTTGGGCATAGAATTGAATAGGCACAATTCAGGAGATTTTGTGGCAAAACTTTATTTAACAACTGTTTGTGCTAACTATAATTGAGAGTCCTTTTCTCTTCGCTAAAGGCTCAAATTTCCATATAAGGATAAGTGTTACGTTGAAAGTGTTGAAAGGTTTTTCTAACGAAAGCGTCGAAGCTCTAAGCGATTTTAAACTGAGAAGTAAGAGAAGACTTTTTACCCGGGTACAAATTGAACATTTGTATTTTCTACTACCATCAATAAATGTAAAATATTCATTCGCACGTTTAAATAGTTTCCTCTTAACATTTAAGTTTTGATCGATAACTGTATCAGCACTCGCAGTTGATGTATTTAATAAAATTTTTTGCTCATATTTATCCTGTTGTTGTTGACTTGAATTCTGGATGCCATCAGCAGCAGCATCCATTTCATCATCCGTATTAATATGCAACTCAGCATTTGTTCCTTTCTTCTTTGTTGTTGATTGTGTTGTTCTTGTTGATGTATTATTACCACCACCATGAGAAATACGTGTTTTGGAAACTCCTCCTCCCCGTCTACTTGAAGCACGTCCTGGACTGGAAACTGTTCTTGAACTGATTTTCGATGAGCTTCTTCGAGCTAGTATTGGTGTACTGTGACGACTAGACGATAATGCTGGTGTACTATGACGACTAGACGATAGCGGTGGTGATTTCGACGATGATGGTTGGTCATTTCTGTTATTATTATTCATGTTGTAGTTCGAGTGAAATAGATAGCTGCTCTTTTGATGAGTGCAGTAGATATGTGGCTCAGATCACACACTCTAAAAATTGAAAATACACGCTAGAGAAATTAAGTTATATTAGACTCGTTTCACATTGTACGTCTTTGTTTCTTTTATTTCTGTCCTTAGACCATAAAGAGAAGAAAAAGGAAAAAAAATATAGGTAGGATACAGAGGAAAGTTTCTTTTGCTCTCGTTTTCTCATTAGTCAAACGCAGTATGACAGGAATATAATATATTCTCAGACAATTAAAACGAAACGGAGGATGGGACATATGAATTTTTGGGGACCTTAGTATCCTTCAACCATGCATCTTTAAGGTTTCTAAAAAGAGAAAAAGTTCTCCATAAACTAACTAAACAAAAATGAAAAAACAGATCGTAGATATCGTAGAAAAGGAGCATTTGTAGAGCAGAAACCTTGCTGAATATGCATCTTCCAAATATGTTTTAGATGAGATTTTTAATTTCAAGTCATTTAGCTTGAAATATTACAGTAGTTCAGTTTCAAGGCATAAAAATATTAAGCTTATCGTCTTCTCGATCGGAAAAAAATGAACTTCGTTTAAAAATTGTCCTGCCGCAGCTATTTTCTTTTCAAACGAAAGCGCTCACATACTACACTAGAATACTTGTTACCCTCCTCTAAGCAAGCATGTTAACTTGCTTTTACTTGATACTAAATCGAAGAATAATAAATAAACTAGGCAAAACAAGTTCTTTATCCACTTTTCGCTTATGCCGCGACCAGTTACAAGACTCGAGAAAGATGGCGCTTAAACGCGCTACTTCCTGTAGTAAGCACATTTCATATAACAAATATTGAGTTTTTTGAAGCCTTATTAAACAACAAGAGGCCGAATTTGCTTTGGTGAAGTGTATACGATTAATTAACTTGATTTCGAATACCAAAAAATTCAAAGTGACGAAACAAAGAATGATACTCATCAGATCTGTTTACCTGCGTTTTAAACTGACTGAAAGCTGCAACCGGTGCAGGTAGGTTGCTTTTTGCAGATGAATGAAAACCTTTTCCACTGACTGCCGGCTGATAAAGAAGAACGTTTTTTTGCCTGAACTTCTTGCAGAGGAGAAAATTTTATCTGCACTCACTGCATGGAAAGATGTTTTTGTATTTGAGAAAAAAAGAGAGAGGAGACCAAGAGAATATTGATCACACTGAAGATCAGAACGATCTCTTAACGAAAAGAAACTAACTAACAGTTTTTTTTGTATGTCTACTACACATTTTAAGATGAAGGAGAGAAACGTTTTATCCGTAATCGCTTATATTATTTTCCTGCAGGGCTACACTGGTGATCTATTAAGAGAAAGTTTTAGGGACTTTCCGAGGTTTCTGGAAAACTGGTTTTCCAGACAACCGCTTTAGAAAGGTCTAACGACCCGCCTCATACGGATGTTCGGAAACAGAGTGGTCGTGTAGTTGGCTTTCCTCATTCTCATAATGGTCACCTTTCAGTGTTTAATACGCTTCTCTGTTAATGTCATCACCTGTGAGAACAGACCCTCCGTTTTCCACATTGAATCGCACGTAGATGTTGAACGAAAGTCGGAAGAGATCGCACTTTTTGAAGTACAAACCTGATTATCTACACAAACACGTTCTGGTTGATTTCTGACACAATGTTGAGAGTAGCGCTAGGTCATATTAAAGAGAGTATTGTGCACTCCGAACCACGCATATAAAACAGGTTTAAGTTTGGGACTATAACGATAACAAAAAGAGAAAAATATAGAACAAGAATAGTGAATCGTGACTGGTGATACAGGCTATAATTATCAGTGTGTAATACAGACTGATAGTGGTCAGTAGGGAAAAATTGGTATAACTTGCCTTAGGGTCCACCTGCAGGGGCGTCAGTGCAGAAGTTTTCACTTTCAACCACTTCCTGTGCAGAACAAAGGATTTTTTTCTAACTCGGAAACTGCAACGCGGGTAAATTTTATTTTGCGCAGGGTTAAAAAATTATGCAGGTGATCAGCTCTGATACTCATGTGTATCGTTTCTTTTTCCTTCTCTTTTGCTCTTAGAACAGAAAAGAAAGAACAAAGACGTACAATGTGAAAGGAGTCTAACAGTAGATAACTAACGAAAATGAAGATATCTCTGTTCTCACAAGATATATCCTGTGCGTACATTGCCGCACATTTGACTCCTATAGAAAGAAGAGAGCAGAAAGAATAAGAAGATTATTTTCTTATCCTTTTGTAGCCGCATGGATATTCACACGTTAGACACAGTGAACAGAGTGTAAAAATGTATGACTTGTCTTGATAGACCTTTCTAGAACATATATAAATCAAGTAACCTTAAGTAAAACTGATATATGTCAACGCTCTGGCATGTTTATTGGATGTTGTTCGTTAAACACACTATATGTTTGTTGCCGTTTTCATTTTCCTTCCTTTGCCTTTCATACTTTCCATCGTCGTATCTAGGTACATTTTTTGTTCAGAAATGCTTCACATACACATCATTCGCAGTTTTTTGTGCTGATTCTGAATATTAAGTTAATTTTCAATAAAAAAAATTCTGAGCCGAAAAAATTAGATTTTACTTCAAGCATCAAAGGTCCTTTGGAAGACCTGTAAGTCAATCTACGTTCGTTCGGGATACTTTAGGCTAGTATTCTAGGTGTAGCATTAGTAGATGAAAATTTTGTGAAAATGTCATCGAATTTGAGATTCCACTAAAGTCCGCGCATTCATTTTACTGCATATGCCTTTTCGAAAAACACTTAGCAGAAAAAGAAAAATTAGTTTTTCTTTGCCAGAAAGCTCAGCGAAAATTTTTTTATGAATCGATAGAGCAGAAGGTCTGGTTTTAGAATATGTACGATTTTTTAATAAACTTAATCGGTTTCGAAAATAAGGCCTTATATTTTCGCACCACCCAGTTCTTTGCTAGAATTTTCTTGATATGTTTTTCGACTGACTGTGGCACCTGGAACACAATCTTTTTGCCATCAGTCTCATATTTTAAACCAAATTTGTTACTATTTGACTCATAACAATTTGCTTTTCTTTTTGTCCTGTTTTTATTCTTTCCTTTTCCGTTCAAATCATGAGCTGATTATTCCTCTTTCATTGTCCGCATAAGTGGTTTTAAGTCCTAATAAATTACCGAGACCAGCTGAAACTATCCTAGCTCGAAAAGAGAAGATTTAATAGAACAAGCACAGCGAGTTCTGAGAAAAAACCATAGCCGTAGACAGAAAATATCAACCAGAAAATCTTTATTTCTTTACTTTACCTTTATTATATAAAAGTAAGTGATTCATTTATCTTTATTCTATAAAAGTAAATGATCCATTTATATTTATTTTATAAAAGTAAATGATCCATTTATATTTATTTTATAAAAATAAATTTTTTTTTCATTTATTTATATTTACTTTTTAAATATAAATGACGAATTTATCTTTATTTTTTAAGTATAAATGATTCATTTACATTTGTTTTCTAAAGTAAGACTAAATTAACACCCCTAATCTAAATGTGTCTTAAAATTGTTGTCAAAACCAATGCAAGAGTAGTCCATTACTCGTAATATACACGTTTTGTAAATGCGAAGACGTATGAACTCTGGCGCACAACGGATAATTCTGTTCACCTCCCAGCATTTGTCTACATCTTTTACTAGTATTTTCCGCGAACTTTCGTGTTTTTTGAAGACCGCGAACGGAAAATGCCGCTATTGTTAAGATGGCTCTATTCTTCCGTTCGTGGTTTCTGAATTAGAATATATATTCCAATCTTTCACTGTTTTATGAACATTTTTAATCTAATATTCCTCAATGTTTGTCATTCTGTTTGTCTCAGAATGCACGCCCAAACGATAAGGTCCAGAATGACGAAATTTTGCACACTATTTCTTGGTCAAAATCTACGATAAGTCACGAAAATTTCATTAAAATCAATCAACCAGGAGCCGAGTTATTTAAAAATGTACTTATAATCACTGATGAGTGTGACGGACGCATAGTCACGTGACAGTGTAATGGATGTACATCCTCCTAGTGACTAATGAGTGTGACGGACGTACATACATATAGTCATGTGGCAGTGTGACGAGCGTACATACATAGAGTCACATGGCAGTGTGACGAGCGTACATCCTCATAGTCAGTAATGAGTGTGACGGACGTACATACATATAGTCATGTGGCAGTGTGACGAGCGTAGATCCACATAGTGAGTAATGAGTGTGACGGACGTATATACATGTAGTGACTAATTAGTGTGACGGACGTACAAACTACAAACACGATTTCTTTATTAATTTTTTTTAAATAAATTCTTATGTTTTAATAACATGAATTGGAGAAAAACTTTAATAACATTAAAAAAAGTCAATTACTTCTTTGTTCAAGAACCCGGGCAACGCCGGGTAATTCTGCTAGTTGAAAATGTTTTGTAAAAAAGCGAAAACTTATTGGAGGATCTAAATTTGTATAATATTGCAGTACTCCTTCATTGAATGGAGCATCGTGGTAAAAACTCACTAGTAATAAATTACTCATGTTTAATTACAAATATAAGTCAGTCAAATGAAAGATGAGAAAACACTTTGTAATGTGTAAAGCAATTTCTTCTCATTTGCCACTCTGGATTATTTCTTCCCTATCTGAATTTGTTTCAACAAACTAGCTATATGCAGACTCGTAGAATGTAATTAACAGAGTAAGAATAAACGTGAATACTACTAAAAACCCTTATCTTTGTTTCAGATTATAAAAACAAAAGTGTGGGGCAAGACTTTTAGTCGCGACCATATAATCATGTTTGTCTTTTATATTTTTGTAAAAGTAAAAAGTATGATTTCAAGAGAGAAAAAAAGAATAGCTGTTATGTTTGAGAACGAAAAAGCAGACTGAAATGGAAGTTTGATTTTTTCTCGTGGAAAGGTGTGTACATTAACTCATATTTCATTTTTGAAATATTTG